CCAATAATCATGCAAATGTGTGCGCGACGGCCCGGGGGGTACAATAAAATGTCGTGTGGTTTGCTATCCGCGGACATCAGAGGAGGGGGAGGAGGAGGGCGAGGGGGGGAAGGGGCACCTGCGGGACCTATAGGGGTCCCCGCGGTCACGACGTCCCGCCTGACAAGGGAGCAGAGGGGAAGAGAGAGAGAGACAGAAAGAGAGAGATCTCCCAAAGGACCACTACTACTCGCAGCATACTGCTACTCCTACTTGTGCACCCTGGAGGCGGAAGAGCAGAAGGCATCATGAAGCAACAGAAGGAGAATGCTCGGAATTTGTACTGTGAGTGTATGTGTGTGTGTGTCTCTGTGCTGTGCACTCTGCCCGCGCGCCCGCTCCCTCCCTCCCGTATATAATAAATTCATAAAGCATGTCGCCTCATTGCGGTCACCGCCCGCGGCCGTCTCTTTATGACAAACGAATCGTAAAGCGATACCGATATACAGCCTCAATCGCAATGAGTCGTCCTCATGGTAGCCCTGGCCGCGCCATTAGCGCCCGCCTGCCACGGGGACGCGGCCGACAAATATTAAATGGACAAACTGCCCCCGCGTTAAAAATTTCAAAGGGGTACTTAAGCGGCCGCCGTTAACTTGAAATGTTCTAATTCCCGATTTATTTGGGATATGAAGGCTAATAATGTGCATCATGAACTACAAGAAACGAATGTAAGATATTCATTAGTTTTATGTTTGTGTTGCAATATTTATTTCTGAGCTATTTTCTCAAGCGTATTTCTATATGTCCTTGCACCATGCAGAGATTCCGTCGATGTCTAATTTCTGGCCGACCAAACATTATTATGAGTTCAGAAAATTGTCCTGCGTTTACTTTTGTTTGTTGGGAAATTTTATATGTTTTATGTGGCTTTCTCGTATTGCACTAAACATTTCTGCACGCCGTGTTCAAGCAGATGGATTTCACCATGTCGAGTTATCTCTCTCTCTTTGCTCTGCGCAAAAATTCTTTTTGGCGTTCCGCTGTTGGCCCGAATAATCGTTTCCTCGGAACAAGAGCGGTGCATTGGGGCTGTCCGAAATGCTATCCGAGGCAGCAGCATGCGGGGAATGCCCCCCCTCCTCCCTTCTCTGCCCCCCCCCCCTCCCCTTCACCGCACCAGACCAATCACGCATTGTTGCCCTCATTAGAATTATCAGAGCACTTCGCCGGAAGCTTTTGTAGGCCATTGTACGCAAAACAATTGTATCTCCCGGGGCTGGTGCGCGGCGGTGGCGCCCAGGCAGGCGGCAGCAGGCGGCGACCCCCACCTCGTAAATCAATGGACATTCCCAACATTACCCCGACGGTGGCGTGGCGGAGAGAGGCGGGGTGGGGGCGTGGGGGTCTACTGCGGGCAGAGTGCAAACCTTTTTGTCAATTCAGTACGTCCGAGGCCGAGTTCTATGTAGTTTTCCTTCATGGTAGACACGTGTACGCGCTGAGGACATTCATTTCAATTTAGTAAATAGTTTTTCATGCATCACCGAAAAAACGTCGTAGGTTTACCGGAATTTTTTTTTATGGTGTGTCGTAACAACACAATTTGGAACTGAAATTTTACAAAGACCTTCGAATCGAATTGGAATTGATCGACAAGCAAGCATGGGCTGTTGCGAATTTTCACCATAGTTTTAAAATACAAACTGACACAAGAATGTTGTCGATTTAAGAAGATATTTTTCGCAGGTGTAGAAATATTTATCATAATTTTTTGTTTGTTATTCCCTCGCGGCTCCTTTTAGTGGAGTGGCGCGATGATGTTGCCCGGTGGTGCCGGTGAGCTCCGCGTCAGCTCCGTGATGAAGGCGGCGAGATACGCGTGTCGTCGGCTTATCGTTTCACCAGGCCGCTGAAAGTTATTATTTATCTCCTCGTCACTACTCTACTCCGAAGGAGAGGGAAGGAGAGAGAGAGAGAGAGAGAGAGAGAGAGAGAGAGAGAGACGCGGTGGGCGGAAGTGCAAGTGCAGCGTCGGGCGTGACTCTAGTGACCGTGGCGATCGCGGGCCGGTCCGTCGCTGCCGCTGCTGCCACCACCACCACCAACCATTACCACCACAACGACGATGTAATAAAATGTCCATTTTTGTGGTGGCGCGCACGACGCTGTGGAGCTGAGTGGCGTCGTCGGGCTGCCTCGCTGCGGCTGCTGAGGTGCCGAGGTAGGCCACCCGCCGCGTGAACGTGTGCGACGAGTCTGCCTACGCCTGCTCTCCGCAGGCGCTTTCCCATACAAATTGATTTCTTTACTTTCCGGCAGTTTTCGTTCTTCACCCTCACATGGAGACCTGTTTGCGTTCGTTGCTAGCAGATCTGTATTCGATTTGCGGTTAGAGTAAATGAAAGATCGCACTGTAGGGCGAGAGGGCGAGTGCTGAGGTGACGTAGTCTCGTGTCCCGTGCGTCCTTGAGGGAAAGAGAGAGACTGACACTCTCCGAGTCATGGCAGCGAGCTCATATAGCCCACAACACATACCGTTTGGCAGGCGTGACAGGTCAAGTCACGAAACCGTTCAAACTCCTGTAACGTTAACGTCTCGCGGGTAAGTTAGGAAGGAGCCGGCCCGCCTCTAATAGCGAAACACAAACGCAACTGTTTAATAGGGCTACTCGCCCGTGTTTCGCGTCTCTCGTTTTCTTTTCTTCATTTTCTTTTCTTTTTTTGCCTCATAGAGGTTAACGTTTTATTTCTTTGCTCGCCGATAATCAGTGCCAAAGCGCTGCGTTTCTCTAGTAAGTAACAGCGGGAGCGGCCGTTAAAATGAATACTCATTTGGTGGGATTATGAAATAAAACTCCTAATAGTGTAGCCCGCGGGGCGTGGCGGGGCGCGGCGCTGACTGTTGCGGCACACGTCGGGCGACCTCAACGCTGGGCAGAACGACAGTGCCGCGCGCTTGTCGTCCGAGTTCGAACGACTGGTGACAGCAGAAGTGGCGTAGGGAGGGCTCTCTCTGCTCCCCTCCCCGCTCTCTCTCTCGCACGCCCCTGGCCAGTGTGGGAAACTTGGCGCGCGAACCAGCGCCTAAGCAAAATAAGCATCGGATAGGAGCGAATATCGCGAGTCCTGTAGCGGCACACCGAGTTGATCTGTTTGGCACAGAAAACAATTTTTTTAAATAATCGTTATGAAGAATCGTCTGACGAGCGGGTATCTTTGAAATATTGAGCAACATGGCGTTGGCCGGTCGGTGAGCATCTTCTGCACATATGTCCTGCGAACGAAGAAAAACGAATGGGCCGCTTCATGTTTTTATTCGCTGGTATTTTTTTTCTCCTCGTAGGTTTTAGGCTAGTTTCGATAAGCCCCGCTGTTTCACTATCTCCCTCGCGCGCCGACTCTTTTAACCTCGTGAGTTTCGCGTTTGGGGAGCCGGGCCTCGCAGCTCGTTCTCACGCCGATATCCGTGCTGCTGCTGCAGCCGCGTCAAAAATTTCTCCTCTGACAAATGTGACTTCAACCCTCCCCCCCCCCTCTCTCTCTCTCTGACTTTGCGCCGATCCCCGTCCGTGCCTCACCCGATATCTGACGTCTGCAGCTCATCTTCCAGATCCTCCGGGTGACTAAACGCCCCCCTCCCCCCCCCCTCTCTCTCTCTCTTCCACTGGGCCGGAGCCGGGTCGGAGCGTCCCGTCGGGCTGGTGCTTCCCTGGCTTGGCGCTACACAACCCCACTTAGCTGTTTCCGGGGCCGATCGTTTCCGGACGGACCCGGACCCGCCCCGGGGAGGGGAGGGGAGGGGGGGGGGATGCCACACGCGCCGAGCGCGATGCGTTAATTAACATCTTCACGGTCACTGACACAATCTCTCCCTCATCGGTTTTTTTCCCCCCCGACTCGGCCGTTGTTTATTATTTATTTCTATCGGGCGGGAGGATCCGTTCGGCGCGACTCCGCGCGTCTTGCGGTGCTTTCGCTCGGCCTGCGGGACACACAAACCAAAGTGGTTCGCAGTCCACGAGATTCTTTTGCTGATCTGCGAAAGAAAAACCCTAAACGCACAATTTTTACCTCGAGCCATTCAAGTTAGAAACACCATGATATGACTAACTGTAGTTCATTTTGAGACATTGTTCTGGGCGTAAATTAGTTGCAGGAAATATCTTTTAATTTCAGCAATACAAGAACCTAGGGGACAAAAACATTAAAATTACAACACAAATCAATTTGTCTTGAAGAGGGTGAAACATTAGCAGTCTGCCCAGCGAGATGAATGTCCAGATTTCGAGGCGTCGCGTCGACAGTTGACGACTCTTTCTTCTTTGTGAGACAAGAGGATTTATTTCGACGCGATTCTCAGCTCTGATAATTTGACGTCCTGCTGCCCGACTCTGCAGAGGGGAGAGGAGGAAAGAGGGGGAGGGGGGCACTTGGACCTGCGTGGGGCGTGGCGGGGCGCGGAGGCGGCCTTGGACGACTCTACTTAAGGCCCCAACGGGTGCACCAGCCTTGGCTAACCTTGGCCCTGACTTCCAGGGCATTGGAGCGGGCGGCGGCGGCGGCATGCTGGTGGGGGTCGGGGCTCGGCTGCCGGCGTGGCGTAGCGCGGCGCAGCGTAGCGCTCCGGTGTCAACAGTCGGATCCCGGGCCCTCCATCCATGTATCCACCCTCCATCTAGTGTACAAGTGAATGACGTTTAAACATTTTTCAGAAGTATGCCAATAGTCTATTGTCGGTGGTTCAACGTCATCCATCCATCCAGCAACCTAGATATTCAACCATCCCTCCATCCATCCAGCAACCTAGCTATCCAACCATCCCTCCATCTGTCGATCCACTGGAAGTGTTTGACGTTTAAACATGTTTAACAAGCCTACCAATGCCAAATGCCACTTTATTTCAGTGGTTCAATCCTGACTTGTCCTTTCCCCTTGTTTCGTATTGTAAACAGGGCTTTCTATCCAACGGAACAGCAACATTGGGCAACTATTAACGATGTCATTGATGTCTGTTTCAGGCCCCCACCCTGGCCGCATGCGGTGCCCGCCTCCCCCTCCCCCGGGGGGACAGCGCTAACAAGGTAAATGCCGTTCGACATCCTCTTCTGCAGCCGTCTCTCTCAGCACCGGCCGGAGAGAGGGAGGAATAAGGAAAGGAAAAAAAAAGGTTTTCTCCGGCAGTTATGACCCTTATCTGCGCGCGTGCGGAGCCATAACTTTGCTGCCTGTGCAATTTTTCTTTGCCGCGGTGGAAAACGCAGAGTATGACATTCATAAACGCCGTCGATGATACGACGTTTCTGCAATTTATCGCCACGGCGCGTGGAGGGAGGTTTTTCCGCGATGCGGGCAGCAAGCGGCCGGGGCAGCAAGCTGCTGCAGCTCACACAGACTCACTCACACTCGCAAAGAAAGGAATGTTGCGAATGATAATGTGTGTGAGTAAACGGTCGGGAGACACCCCTAAGATGAATATTCCTGGACCAGTTTCTGGACTGCTGCTGCCGCCGCCGCCACCACCGCCGCAGCAATCTATCCGCGATCGTCGTCATCGCCTCCTCTCCGTCGCACCCGTTAACGCGAGCCGATCTTGCGTTTCCCTCTAAAGATAGTTAAGCTCCCTCCCGGGCGTGTTGTGTGTGTTCCGTTAAGACGGCCGGTTGCCTGGCTTGTTATACACGCCTATGGCAGGTGTCAGGGTGCATACGGATGGATTTATCTGTGTTTACGTAAACAGTACGACGGGAGTAGGGGGGAAAGTTATGGGTCAGTGGTGGTCGAGTTGGGGCTGCGCCACGTGCTGGGGGCCGCGCTCTGACGTAGGCCCCGCCCGACACATGTCACGTGAGTTTCAGTGGGGGCGCTGTTTGTTTTCCACGACCCAGTAGTGAACGCCTCCGTCAAGTTGCCATTTTCTTGTGCAGAGATGGGCAATATTTTTGCCTTACTCCCCTCCCCGAGCAGCCCCCTTTTTGCTCAAACTTCCTGAACCTACGACAAATAATGATATTGTAGCAGGACGTGACGTACTCCACCAACAAACGTTACAATCGTGTGTAAAGACACCGCTGACGGAGTTCGCAGTTCACTGAAAGAAACGTAAAAGCTCTCTCACTCGCTTGACTTTCTGCCTTTTAGTGAGGCCGTGTTAAGGAGATACCCATAATGATATTTTTTTTCAACTTTTTCGAAAGAGCCTCGGGGGGCATTAGTGGGCACGTTTGTCTTTATGGGCCGGCCAGCAGCTTGGCCTGTGGCCCCGCCGCCCCCCGCTGCCCCGCGGCCAGAAGAAGGACTTTTGGGGCCTGGCCCGGGCCAATAAGCTCTCGCACGACCGCGGCCAGGCATTTTTACAACTTCGATTTTGTTGTTGTGATTACTAGTATTTATTCTCTCTCGCGTGGTTATCTTTAGTGTTGGCGCCCTTTATTTGGAGAGGGTTTAATCAAAACCTCCGCGCGCGGCGCAAAGAGCCGCGCGAGCTCGCCTCTATTTGGGTTAATGACGGCCTCGGCTGGTGCGAAATTGTACCGCAAGGGCATAAATATTAAAGCATCATTCTGAGGCACGGCACGTTTCCGAGTTTGTCTTACGCGTCGCCCCGCGGGCCGACCAGCCGGCCGGTCGGCGGCCGTTCCGCAGCGAGCAGGCGCCGCGGCGGCGAGCGAGCAGGCGATCTACGCGGCGCGGAGGTCGGTTTCGCACGCGGATTTCGGAAAATAAACGGAAAGTGGCCGCTCCGGCTCTGCTGGGGCTGATCCCCATAACCTCGCGGCGGCGGCGAGTCGCGGGGTTCGAACGCGCGGCGCTTCTAAGCCGATATATCGATGGCTGTACGGTATAGGCCTACGTCTTTGTGGTAACATTGAATTCATCAGCAAACTTGAATTCTGCCGCTTTCCTTGTCGCGACTTTAAATCTGACAGTTTCTTCTAAAGCACGAGTTAAAATGTGTTAATAAACTCAGACCTCTGTGCCCGAGTCTATTCAACATTATTTTTTGAGGGACGATGGGTATCTATTTTATAGATAATCTCACGAAACCGTGAAACTTTCGCAAAACTGACGTTATTTGTGTTGTTTAGCTTTTCTAGCCTATGTGCTCCCCCAACCAGCGCCGGCCGTGTCCCTATGGCGGCGGGTGCTCGGCATAAGCCGTGAGAACGAGCGCTCCTGCGGGTCCCCGCCACCCGTTCCCGGGCTCGACCGCCCCGAGGGTCGTAACCCCGCGGCATCGAGGCGACGCGCGTAGCTAAAAAGCGTTTTTGCAACAAAGTTCGTAAATTGTCAAGGAAAAACGTTTTCTGAGCCGCGTGCACTGGAGCCCCGCGCGCGAGCGGCACCCTGCTCACGTCGCGCCGCCCGGGCCGGTAGTGGTCCGGGAGGTGTTAATGCCTCGGCAGCGTCCGAGATGGACAAGAAGTGCACTTGACCGGTCCCGCCGCGTCCCGCCACGTCGTCGCGGCACAGGTGGGGTCGGGGAAAGGGGGAGGGGGGAGGAGATAAGCGAACTGGACAAGGCAACCCGCCACACCACCCCACGTCCCGGCCGGGGCCCGGCGGCGCCCGCCTGCCTTTGGCTTGTTATTGGCGCCGGGCGCTGACGAAGAATCGCGGGGTGGGGCGGGATGAGCGACGAGCCGGCCGGCATCTCGGAATGCGTCAGCCAAGTATTTTTATAGGGGGGATCTTTTTTTCTCTCTCCTCCTTCTCACCTCCATTTCTATTATCCGCCTAAAACGTTATTTTCGCAATAATGGCTTACACTTTTCAAAATGTATTTCCAATCTGTTAGAAAATTTCTTAGCGTTGGATGTTTACCTCAGGTATGACTCTGGGGTTCACCACTTTAGGAATGGGTGTACTTTTACTTGTAATCGAATCTGACTAGGTCGCTGGAAAATGACTGGGCATGACACACGACAAGAAATATTGATGGAGTTTGACGAAAATTGTGCATCCAGAAAAATTGTTTCTTGATTCAAGTAAATTTTTCTTGTTTCAAGTGATGCTGACACAAGATCAATTTTACTCTTGAATCAAGCTGATATTTTCTTTCGAATAAGACAAAAATCTTATTCCAAAGGCAATATTGCCTTGTTTTAATGGTGAATTTCATCTTGTGTCAGCATCACTTGAAACAGGAAAGATTTACTTGAATCAAGAAACAGTTTTTGTGGGTGTGACAAGTCTCTGGAGGTGATTTTGTCCCTGAATTGCATGACTGACAATTGGGACTGAAAAATGAATTGTCGATGTAGCCCTTCATCGTTACTGGTCAAAGTAATGCACCGCTCGAGCAAAACCGATGCGACAAATAGTCCGTATGGAAATTCTTTATTTTATTTTTTCGGCTCGTAATGCGCCTTATGTGTCGTGGTAAAAGAATCCCCACCAGGATGCTAAATACCCAGAAGAAAAGTGGTTTTCTGTATCGTTTAAGTTTTATTCGGGTGAACGCGTGCGGCTTGGTGTCTCCATCACGGAGCGTCCCCAGCGCGACACACATCTGGACCCCCCGCCTGACTTGTACCAGAATGCAGCGGCTGCGGTGGTGGTCGCCGTGTCGCGGGGTGTTGGTTTTTTGTTATCGCGCCTCGCGACGCCTTGCCTTGCCTGAGTTAGTATTCAGGACAGAAGCGGCACTATTCAGGACTTATCGATACGAAACCAATCACTGGCCGCCAACAGCTTTCGCAGATTATCCATCGACACCTGCCTAGGCTGCCCGCTGAGGAGGTTGTGGGCCCGGCCGCGGAGAGGATGAGCAGTGGACCCGAAGAGGTTGTTTCTCTCAACCTTTTTTGGGAAACTGCCGCTTTGCCACTAATGTATGCAATAGAAAAGCTTAACAATCGTTTACAAAAGTGCGACTGCGACAGCATTTTTTAAAAGTAAAATTAATAATACAAACAAATATGATTTGTACTAGACTCTCATTGTTGGGCTCTGTCGTGTAATGATCAGTTACACATGTTATCACGCTCTCGAACCGGAAACGATACAAATCTTAGCCCCGGCTGCGGCACAAATGTTGTTCATTCAAAAGCAATAAGCCGGTGGCACTCTCTGTAATCCATAACGTCATTGGGACGTTCGCAAGAACGAGAGTACATCAAATGACGAGTTTGCAATGTTCCAACAGTTGATGACGATGATGTTTCGTCCCAGTCACGTTTGGATCATCGTGATCCTCCTAAACGGCGTGATACTTGAGTGACCTCAGAACAGCCTGCCGCATCTCACTCCGCCCCACCCCGCCACGCCCCAAGTCCACACGGCGCTCTCTGCCCCTGACATTCGCCTGTTCTGCAGTCACGGTGGTGCTTCGTGGGAATCTCTGGGGAGAGGAGAAGGAGGAGGCGTTCCCAAAGAAGTATGACGACGGCCGGGGAGAGGAGGGGGCTATAGAGGTGTGGTTCCTGCCATTCGACACCTGGTGGGGTAGGCAACCGGCCCGTCCTATCTCTCTTGAAGCAGCATTACAGTGGCGTAGCAGTGATGTGTGTATGGTAGTGTAGCAGCAACTCAATGCTCCCATAGGGCGGCAGTGCGCGCATGCGTATGTATGTATGTGTGTGTGCGTGTGCTTAAATGGTGAGCGTAAATGGGGCTCTACTCAGAGGCGCGGGGGTACGAGGCAGCTTCCGTCTTCTAGTCATACGACCCTCTCTGTGTCTGTCTACACGTGTGTGTGTGCGCGCGTGTGTGTGTGTGTGTGTGTGTGTATTCGTTCGTGCGGGTGCACTGTGTGTAATTAGCCTGTTGCAACACACATCCACACACACAAGCATACAGAGGAGAGCTCTCAGCTGTTAACTGAGGCAGACTGATGAGTTGATCACTAGATGGAACCCTTTCTATGCCCACGGTACGCATTCATCTCTTCAGTTCCCTCTCCTTCCCGTCTCTAAAAAGAGAGCGCCTTTTTAAATCCTACTGGGCAAGTAAGTGACATTTGAACTCCAATACCGCTGACCACTTTTGCTCTCTAGTAGTCCAGAGCGCGCTCTGCTCCCCTCCCTAGGTAGAGTGGCCCCTGCGCACTTTCCATTTCGCTTTTTTTAAAGCGCTCTCTAAC